AGGGTATATACATATTTTATTCCTTATATAAATATATTAAACTATAACATGACTGGGTGAAGGGGAGGCCAGGACATGTCGGCCATAGCCGATACGACGGGCGCTACTCGCGAGGCTAGGCGAGTGAGAGGATAGCACCATCAGCAGCAGCCCGGTGGTCGGTAGACGGCCACTTTTATAGTGGTCCGTAGAACGTCACACGGCGTGATTGATGAGCATCCTCGTCCAGGCGGTCAGGTGGCGAGGATACGACACACCACATTTCATTATAGTTTGCTTTTTGCAGTGCTTGTCAATTTTGTCAATCGGTATTGTGTTTGATGCATCATTCCATAGTTAAACATGTTGGAGGTGTTCCGACTCTTTCGGCCTCTACCCTTGATTTTGTCTTTGCACCAATCATATTGCCTTGCTGATGCCGGTCTCTCCTTTTTGGCTCGCCCACATTCCTTTTTACTTCTTTTACAAGCAGGTTCATTTCACAAGGAGCGTTCTACGTTGCATTGGCTGCTTTCAGACCAACGACGCAACCGACGAGCGCGCCGGTGTTGCTTGCTATGTGTTGGCAACACTGAACGCCGATGGATCACGCACCACTGTTGTCAACAAGTGGCTAGCGCCGCCATTGGTCGGACGCGCGTGCACAGGGGGACGGAACATTCGTACAATGCGAACTGCTCGCGGCTAATAGCGTGGCGAATTTCATTGCGGTTTTGACGATTTTAGCGAATATCATTGGGGTTCACATTTGAAGTAGTGTAGATTAGTAGAATCTGTTGACCATACTTATCTACTCTACAAATTTGTTTCCCAATAATAGCGCCAAAGTCGTTCGAATCGCCACGAATTTCACCGCGCGCAGTCCGAATCGCACGAATGTACCCATACCTGCGCATGCTCTCGTCGGTTGCGTCGTTGGAGTCTGAAAGGCTGCTCCAATAGTCCGCGATTCGGTCCGCGAGCGCGTCGGCCGGGGGACTGCTCGGACGGCGGTATCGACCAAGATTCAGTTGCATACAAGGGGCAAGCGCCGGCGCGCTCTCGGGCCGAATGGCGATCTATGGAAGCAGCCAAACGATTACAGCACCGTTATGAACGGCATCTTTCATAGTCCACGACCGGTCGCGCGACTGGTCGCGGACCCATCTCACGAGCGACCGATCGCGCGACTGGTCGCCGGTCGCTAGCGTCTGGTCGCTCGACTGGTCACTCGACTGATCGCGCCACTGGTCGCTCGATCGGTCGAGGAGGCCGCGCTAGTTATGGGTGCCGCCGTGGACGGTCCCGCGCGATCAGTCAAGCGACCAGTCGCGCGACTGGTCGCCGGTCGCTAGCGACTGATCGCTCGACTGGTCACTCGACTGATCGCGCAGGAAAGAGCTCGCCATTCCTCAGTGCCTCTTACTACTAATGATACAACATGACACCTAGAGAACACCGTCGGGTTGAGATTGAATCAGTGATGTTGGAGAGGTTGACATCAGCGCTGAATTCCATAAAAACGAAGTAGCAAATAGATTGCAAGTGTCGGTTTTCTGCAATGCCACATAGATTTTTCCCGATGAGACTGTTTTATGCAGGCGTTTATTGATATTTGAACATAGATCAAGCCTTTACTTCTCTCCAAGTACCTGGGCTGATCAACGAGCAACATTCCTCGCCGAGTTGCCATACATTACTACTCAACTAAATCACCGAAACCAACTAAATCTACAGGTCCTGTCCGTGGCATTTTGCCAACTTCTGCTCTGGTTGACAACAGCCCTGTAACCGTCTAAATGCAGTCATTTAGATACACGCGAGCGGAAACATACTTCAAACTGGACATGGCATTTTTAGATGAGACATTAGTGGAAACATTTTATTGAAATACCAGTTGGGCTATGCACGCTAACGCGCGCGTCACATTAATTAATCAATCAACTCAACTGGATACGCAGCGTAGCGATTATGTAGTTAAAAGCAGCACTCGAAATAGAAGTTGCTTTAATGAATGGTTCACAGAACATTACCTCGTAGGACGGTAAAATAAGCTCATTCTATCACTGCTAACAGTTGGTTGTGCTCTCCATCATTATTAGCAAAGTCTGTTGAAAGAGGCATAGTGACTCTTTATACCTCAAGGATATGGCTTATCAATGAAACTTCTTCTCTAAGGATATATCATTAGTAGAGGCTCCCAGATTATTAGCGGTCGGATGAATTCCGCCATGAATGATATCAAAGCAGAGAGGAACCGTGACCTTTCATTGTATCGCAAACTTCGCTGGGTAGCGGTCGTAAGCAAGAAGTGAACCAAATTTCATAATCGGTCCCTATCAATGCACTTTCCCTTCTTGTCGAATGAAACATATCAAAGAATCAAAGTTAGATCGTAAATATAATAATAAAGGGGCTAGGATTTAATTGGTGATTGAATCTTGTTCTTTAAGACCTCTTTTATCATCCTCCCCCTCTACTCCTATTGATTTTGGTCTCCAATTCCACGGGATCAGGAGCTATAGAATTTCGTTCGGACATTTTTTTTTACGGAAACCTTGCCCCGTGTAGGCGGTGTCCGGTCCTACTACCCACCATAAGTGTTCCCATCCTGCCGCCTATAGTCCTGCCAAGCTTGAACGCCTTAGGGATAAATTGACAATTTTGGCGCAAACCTTGCACCCTGTGGACGCGGCCCGGTACTGCCATCCGCCGTAAATGTTCCCATCCTACCTCCTATACTCTTACCAAATTTGAACGCTCTAGATTCACGGAGACAGTAGTTATGATTTTCCCGCTCCAACATTTAATTTGCGCATACCCCACTCCCAGTGGGTGGAGTCCGGTCCGGTCACCCACCATAAGTGTTCCCATCCTGCCGCCTGTGCTTCTACCAAATTTAAACGTTCTAGGTCCACGGGGACAGAAATTATGAATTTCCGTGCAAACAAACAAACAGACAGACAGACGCGAGCGCTTTATATATAGCAAGGAAGATATGTGTGAAAAATTCTTATCGTAGAACAATCGTGATTAGCCATCAATTTTTACTTACAGCCCTTGTTTTTTGAACGCGTATTTGGTTATACAATGAGGTGAGAGTTACCGATGTGCAGGATAATTCTTTTATGTCCCTGGGACGTCTACTACTAGTTGATCAAGCCGAAGATGGTTTTTGTGATCTTCGAAAGGCTCAGTTGGCATAGCCTATGTCAGTCTTTAATCAAATCACCACAACATATTTACGTGTCAACGAATCCTCATGGTTCGACTCTACGTCCATTTCCAAACACTATTTTTTTAGAGATCTGTATTTTTTATCTCTATCACAAATGAATGGGAGCTGAGTTTCGTCTCAAACTTCTAAAGATGAGCGTAGTTCTAATCGTTAATATTCAGCGAGCTGGCTACTATTGCAAGTTAAACCACTGCTCTTATCTGATGCGCATGTTTATGTTTTCTAGCGGGAAACCTCAGTACCCTGCAAGCAGGCGTCCTTCTCGGCAAGAAGATGAGACTTCAAAGAATTGCTTTTTTTCTTTTCATGCATAACGCTTGAGCATTTGCCATGCATCTACCTAGAGAAACAAATATACCACGCATCGCCGTTTGTGTAGCCTGATAAATCGAAAACTTAAGGAAATCACCCATGTGGATCTACGTTTTTTTTTTCTGAAGCGTGAGGTTTTCTCAGAAATACTGCTCTTATCAGCTGCACGGATATTTGCGGTTCACATACTTTTCGACATAGCAGTGGTAGTGCTATTAGGCATTGTTTCCTTATTAGCAGTGTCATCGATTTCCCTTTCATCTCAGACAAATTTTCATTTGTGATGTTCTAGCTTCTATTATACGATGGTAACTCTTTTAGTGTTGGTAAATTTAATTTCTCTTTCTCAATCTTCATGCTGTGTTTCTTGATTATCTCTTGCGCCTTGGAACAAATCTTCTCTTTGTGTTTGCCTGGATTGAAAACAGACGCAAGGCTGTCAGAAATTGAAGTTTGGCTTGTTGTCGTCTGATTGCGGCTGCCTTTAGTCCATAACTGCGTTTTTGGGACGAGTGAGGGCAAGACCTTCTGAAGTTGGAGTTGGAGTTTGTTCATACGCTTAAATTTCAACATCTGGCCACAGCTACAGTACTTAACAGACTGCGTTTCACTTAACAAATGTTCCTTGTGCAGAGCAATCTAGTGTTCCTCGTGCGGCCGCGCTCATCATGTCACAAATATGATCAGCGTGGTATTACGAGGAACACTGAATTGCTGCACTCTTTCTTCTTCTTTGTGACCGTCAACGCACTATTTTCTTTCAGTTCTCTGTTTGGTGGCATTCGTAACGGGCTCTAAAATTTAGCCTTACAACAAGATTGGTTACACTTCTTTTTGAACACACTAGTGTTTCATGTAGAGTAACTTCTTTGTATCTGAAATGAGGTCGTTTTACGTTATGGAGATATACTCATTCATGATATGCAATAAGGCATGAATCCGAAAACCGAGAGCTTCCTGCGGTAGTGCCGACAAGTCCGTTCCCGAGTGTTGCGTTCAAATTCACATTTGAGCGATGTTTTGTAGTGCGCAGCTCTTGGTTGAGGAACCTGAAAACGTATCATCTCAAAAGGCTTGCTTGCAGAAAATTTCTTTTAGCTTAAGTCATATGTAGTATCATGGAGCTGCTACGATGCCTGCATGACACGCGAGCAGGGCTATACATATTCGCAAACGGATCGTTGCCATACGTAATAGGTCTTTACTAGCAGCTTAGTTGTTTGGTTGGTGTTATTGATTTTCCTCGAAATCGTTTATTTCCATACCCTTTCCATGCTCCACAGCCATCCATCTCATGGAATGGTTTACATTGAGGAGCCTCTCATTCGGTGATGAACAACTTATATCGCTTCTATGAATTTTTCGAAGATTTCGATCTTTTGTCGTAGCATTACCTGGCTGTTCGTTTGTATATCGCATACTCATTTTCGCACTTGTTTCCAGGGGGAGCATTCAGTAGAACCTCCACGAAATGAGGCATGTCGGACTTGTAATAAGTGACACCTTAGTTTCACAGGAACTCATCAGAAACCATGTCGTAGAATTTGTCATCAACGAACAGGTAAGGGGTGCATGTAGTGCATTCGCTACTATTACACCGTAGCGATGTCGTTTCTTTCAGAATGAATACAGCCATTTGCTTGCCAGTGTTGCGGAAGCGGCATTCCGATTTGAAGCCAACGGGACCTTAGATTTGGCGTTTGTAAAAAATCAGAGGTTGGTATTTTTCTTTGAAAAGCCAACATCTTCCTGGTTCTTCATTTTCAAATGTTCTTTTTCAAGACGTCGGGCGGAACTTCCTCTGCTGTTCGGCGATGTTATCGAATGGAGTGAGGCCGATATGAAAAATAACAGAATTATTTTGAAGTTCCGAAGAATGCCTGAGTTGTTCGAGCACCGTGTCTACGACCAAAAGTTTCAGGTTACCTTAGCATTAATACTGCTTTGACTCTGTGATGCTAATTTTCTCGTTATGAATTTTACAAATCGTCGAAAACTCTTCAAACTCTTCGTACCCGAGTTTGCGCTACCATACAGCCATTTCTGGCCTAAAATATAAAAGAACAACTACATAATATTGAATTGTCCACAACACAAGCGAAATAGTGGACTAAAGAACCACTGTATTATGGTCATGATCCTTAATAATCAACTTCGTATGCTGTGAACACATTTGTGCTATGCACTTGTTCTTTTTTTATAAATGCAGATCGAGAGTACTATACCTTGTGTGTTTTTTTATTCACATGTTCATGGATCCCAGGATTAAAGTGATTTTGAAATTCTAGGAAGTCTCGCCTTTCTGACGATCCTTAGAATGCAAGTTGGTTACCTTTTTAGAGTAACACTTCAGATTAGCTCTAACCTTTGAGAAAAAAATTGCAGGAATGCGATACCCTCTTCCAATTTTCTTTGCCAAACAGGGAATATGAGGACCTGTTCAACAAGGAAATGATTTGTGTAACATTTGCTGCATTTTTTTTTTCATTTTGCAGATACTAGTCAGCGGAGTGGTCTCCCCGATAGACAAGTTTCACTTTTGGTCTGAGTACTTCCCACATGTGCGACTTGGTTAGTTCCTATACCCCATTTACTCCACACTGGAGCAATCTCACTACTTTGGATATTGTAGGAAATGTTCCGTCTTCAATGGTTCAGGTATGAAATCTTCGGAGGAAGTGTTACCTAATGTAGGCGTAGCAGCGTGGCTGAACTTATGCACTGATGAGGATGGTAGATTCTGTGTCGAATTCGATTCATTCGAAAGAGTTGAACACGAAGCGCGTATTATTGCTGCAGCGGTACATAGTACTTCTTTTTAATCATTTCTTCTCTTTCGATGACACCATTTTTGAACATTCTGTAGCCATGGAATCGAAACAACCCTAAATATACCACGCTGGCTTTACCTTCGCATGATGATGGCCTAGAGAGCCAGATCTTGTTACCTGATTCTCTCACGGAAAGGCCACAATGGCAGCAGGTATTGTTTGTTACATTACGTGCTTTCTTCATGCTTTATTCTCTGTTTCAGGAGGTTTTCAATCTCGAGGGTATTTGCACAGGAAAAAGGCTGATATTCTGCAGACAATTGTCGTCCTATGAAATTGTTGTCGCTCTGATTAAAAATGCGAAAGAAAGCATTCCTTTTGGAATAGGTAGTTGTATTTTTTTCGTCTCCTGTTCTGTTCTAGCGATGCTGTTACAAGGAAATTTCAGGAGTTAGTTGTGAGTTCAGTGCGGTATGGAATGAGTATGAAAAGAGATTCATTGTAACAAAGTACAAAACTAAGGGTTTACCGAGTCGTTTAGGCTCAAATGGACTGGTGCGTTCGTCTATAGTATGAGGTACACATTCATCTATTGGTGACACAATAACAACTTTTCTTCTCTTTTCCAGCTTAGGACATCTGTCAAAGCTGTGGAAAACTACCCCGGTCTCTTCAAGAGCGATCAATTTGGTCTCATAGATGACCCTCGCGGTGTTCTTGCTTTATTACATCTCTCAGCTTATAAACGCAGCTCTGTTGTGGTGGGTCCCATCGGTTACAAGAATCTCGGTTCTGCGGCGAACAGTCCAACTGCCAATTTGAATTCAGGTCACACTGGAGGATAAACCGGTTTATCAGTCAGACATGCGGTTCCGGATTGTTGACGTTCAGCATGACAAAGCACCCAAACTAGAGAAGTGGATGGAAGAGAGCGAGGTATTCATTACTTGGCGTTTATCTCTTAACGTAGAAAGGCTTGCCATTACCATACCTTTTCTCTCCTTTGTGCAAAACGTTGGGGCACAGCAACAGTGGAACATAGGCGAGTGAGTGCATAAAAAGATTGCACATAACGTTCTTTCATATTTGGAACCATTTTGTTTCTTCAAGTAAAGAATTCATTAAATTTGGGTAATGGCTCTTTGTCTCTGTCAAGTTCGAAAATTTTTCAATTAGTTAATTGGTCTGCTTCTTTGCCTCAGCTCAACTCCGTGATCTTTTTTACGATTTTTTTTGGAGATCACCATAGAAGATTCTGAAGGAGTGGTAGTGGATGCTGCAACGGTCTATTCTAAGGATCATGGAAATATATTCTTCGAGTCAGTTGGTCCTAAAAGTTTTAACTGAGTTGTTTGTGTTGGCTGACCTACCAAAAATTAATTTGATGCTGTGACATTCAGTGTTCCTGAAGAGCTCCGTAGCAGCTTGTCACCTGGGAAATTAGTGAAGTTCTCAGCACAGTATCAGCACAACAACAAGGTGAACTGTTCATTCGTTCCAGCAGCCGTATTGCCACTTTGTTTTGGCAAATGGAATGTTCTGTAAATGGATTAACTGTTTGTATGTAATTCATTTCAGCGGTGCATAATCTCCAAGATTGTTTTGTTGCCTGATGATGAGGTTTCCTCTGTTGAAAAAATTCTGTCGCACGATCAAGAAGAATGTCAGGTATAATTTTATGACCTCTATTACTGAACCTTAAGACTTCATACTAACATCTATTCTATGGGTGTTACCTGGATATGTTGAAAACTAGCACAACCTCAGAAGCAGATCAATTCGTTACAATGAATAAACCTAACAATCGCATTCAGTAGTCTGTTGTTACTTAAGATTGGCTAGAAATGAGAGGCGTAGTAATACAGTGAACCATCAGAAATAAGCTTCTAACCATGGTATTCAGCTACGAGAGGTAGAACCTTTCATTGCTGAATGCCATTTTTCATAACCCCTTTACAAAGCGCTAACGAGATCGGTCACTGTCTTTGCAGCTTCAACTTCCTATATGGGACATATAGCAAATTGGTGCTGTGATCTGTTTGACATATTTTTTTCTTTTTTTCAGTGCGGTTGGAAGCGAGGTATTGCTTACTGAGCCATTGCATAAATCCCTCTACTACATCCTTGATCTTTGCCTACGTCGATAGTTGTTAACTGCGGGTGGGCGTAGGGCTTAGATTAGGCCTTCAAATACCTTGCTACCACATATCAGTTCGGTCTTATATGCAAGTATAACAGAGGCCCCGACGAAACGCCTTTTCGCTTTGCTCTCCTTATATACTGCAATTCTGGCTTTAAATCGATCTAAACTCGGGCCAATCCAGTGTAGCTTAACGGCAAAGTTTTCATCCAATACTAAATATGCGAGGTGAACCATAATCGTTACTTGCTGATTGGAGTGCTCGTGCTTTACTGGGCGTGAACAGCTATAACCTGGGTGTGAGTCGTTAGTCACGACTGAGATTACTTCGCGCTGAGATGCGAAGTGACCTCAATCGTAACTGACCTCATCTTATTACGCGTCTCCCCTTGATCGTAACTAACCTTATCTTCCCCTTGATCGTAACTAACCTTATCTTACTTATGAGAAGGATGGCAGACGATAGGAATGATGAAAACAGAAAACTCCAAGAAGTTAGTTTTTCAACGTAAAATTTCCATGGTCTTTGGTTTGAAGAGTTTTATTACCATATAGGATAGAAGAATTCCATAGTCATAAATAGATAGATATAAAACAACATTTACAGAAGCAACGTAGTTGTTTGATATTGGGACATCTCGTGTTCGAAAGGTCATTGAACGCCAGCCGGCTGATCACTTAGGCCATTTCACCCTTCTCACTATTATTACAATACTTCAGTTTAAATTCAGCACATTAAGGAGTGGTCATCAGCTACTATTTAACCTGGTGGTTAATTGATTTATTAGGGTGTCCCAAAAGTTTTGAGAAAATTCAGCCGCTTTTTTCAACACAAAATAACTACAGCAGCAAACTTAGATCAGTGATCAGGATAGTGGCCCTTCTTAGCCGCAGTGCCTCTCCATCAACCGAACAGGGCATTGACGCCATTGCTCCAGTTTGACGAGAGGCATGACGCAATTCATTCATCTACCATCCACTTGACCTCTCGACAGTTGGTGAATTTTTTTTCTGTAGAGCAGGTATGTGGGCTCCTGATAGTATTGTAGTCATAATGGA